GGATGTAGAGGGGGAATTCAAATCTTTCTGACACTTTTGACATTTTGCCCTTTGAAGGTCACTGGCAAATGGTGTCAACAGCGTTAATGCAACTGTCTGGATTGTCGAATGTGCACCTCCCACGATACGTGGTAGAATGGCGTCCATGCAGGAGTTTTTCATGGCTATCGGTGAGCAACAGTATTCCTACCACTGAAAAAAGCAGGTTTATTTATTTCTTTACGGACATGCATGGTTGCATGTAACTTAGAAAAAAAACAATAAACAAACACACAAAACAGCCAAATTGAGAACGAACAACAATCTACTTCAAGCAGTGGAAGAGAAAACGGTAAACTAATTTGCTAAGTGATCGTTTGAAAGCACTGAGGTTTTGTGGAATGAGATTGCGGCGTAAGAGTAAATTGAAGCTAGTACGAACTCTGTTGGAGAAAAACAGAGACCTGGGTTTGGACCTAGCGACAGCGGTTGAAATCTTAGCCGATGTTCCCCTAGTATTAGAATGAACAATAACGAAAAATTTGGAAGCGTCCATTGTAGTCAAGCCATGCAGAATTTTATAAGCCATGAGAAGATCAGATCGTTTCCTCCTGCATTCAAGGGATTTCAAACCTAACTGTTTGCATCGCTCTTTTCCGCTAGGTATATCGGAGTAATTCAAGTGGAAGCAGCGAAGCATCAGCTTACGAGTGAAGTTGTTTTGGACACCCTCTAAAGCGCAAATATCTTTCTACTGTGAGGATTAAAGACAGTAGTCCCCGATTCAAGAATGGGGCGGACATAGATCTTATAAGCTCTTAACAGGAGGTTGGGATTTTTAGTCCTGTGGGCTTCAGAAAGATCAAAGATTCCACGGAAAGCTTTAGGCACTAAAGATTTGTAGTGATTTGAGAAACTAAGCGTTCTGTCGTAAAGGAAACCGAGGTCACGAAATTGTCCAGAAGGTATGATGGGTTGTGTGGGAGTTTCCCTATACACCTAACTTTGGTTTTCTCTTTAGAAAGAGGATGTTGATTACCTTCAGACCATTGGACCACTTTATTTAGGTTAACGGTTCCTTACAGAGAGATTCCCGGCTCGTCGTAATCAGTTGACGAACTGCGCTTTAGATGACTTGGCCTATTAATCCCTGTGTTAGCAGTGCCTCCTCCCTGTGATTTGAGAATGCCAGCTTCACAGTTCCTGAATTTCGAAGTTTCTGACCTAAAGACTTATGAATGATGCATTTTGTGGCGTTAATCAGTACTATTTGGGGTGCTCCGCGCAGTGAGTTTCCATTGGGAATCGTAGCAATATTTTGAGTGCGATATGGCCGATACATTGACTCGCGAGACAGTTGGTGCCGATCTGTCTGGAATGATGGAAATACTAACCTGTAAACCTGGTGCCGCGAATCATTGTGAAGGCTATATCGCATTCAATAAGCCACTGCGATTCTGCGTGGAAGTAGAATGCGTGACGCATCCCACAGAGAGACTGATCACGAAGAAGGTTGTCTCCTCCCTAATGTATCTGATGTTGCTGGCGAAGTATAAGGAAAAAAGGGAAGCAGCAAAGACCGAGAGTAACATTATTCAATAGTTTATGCTTATAGGCTCACTTCTTTCAGCAGCTGGAAAGGCTTGTAAGATTCCGTAATTGTTTCCAGGTTCTCTGATCACTCAAGCCTTCGGTGTTCCGTTTTCAAACGAAGAACTTTGGCCGTTCATCTTTCTGCCAAACGCCGTTTTTGTACTTCTCTCGATGACTCTATTCTTCGTTGTCCACGAATCACCGCAGTTCATTTTGGAAAAGTCTGGAAACAGGGACAAGGTGAGCGCAATGGTACAAGTAAAGCTCCAAACGTATCTCATCATTTTTGTTCCAGGCTCGTAAAGCTTTGGCCGCTTATCACGGTGTAGGGGTTGAAGATGCAACCGTTGAAACAGAGATGAGAATATGCGAAGATAGTCTGTGCAAAACGAAGGCTAAATCTAAGGTAAAGACTTGTCAAGTTTACTATCACAACAGCTTCGCGTTGCAGTACTGCATTCAAATGTTTCAGCAGACGAACCCCTCCATACAGACCGAGCACGATTCAGTGACCGTGATTTTCATGCCATGGAAAGCTCGAGACCCTACTTCACAAGTGATTCGGCAAGCGGCTTGGCTTGGAGTGATGGTAAAGGTTAGGTTTTCTTCTAACTCGTCAGGGTCTCAGCTATCTTAGTTACGCTCTGGATGGCCGGACTTCAAGTGCTCAACCACTGCCACAACCAGACCATGTCTTTTGCTGGGGAAAACAAAAAAATATTCTCCAAAAACTTTACTCAGTAGCAGAACGTGCTCTAGCTAGAATAGTCGAGTTTTTCTCCGGTTTCACAGGGTCACCCTGAGAACGAGATAAAACCCCTTCTCAGACAGTCAAAGTTCAGCCCCATTAGAGTTGTTCACTTTGTATCAGATTGGTCTGGAATGATTCGTTAGCATTTTTGTCGTGCAACAGGCCGCTACAAGTTCACTTTCAAAGCTCTGCATGGTGGTCTTAAACGGGAAAGTCGCGCGCGGCGCACTCTAAAGGGATTCTATCAGTGCTGTAGTTTCATAAATTCAATACTTTTGGAGGACGTGTAGTTGCAAGCACCGCCGCTTACCACGCGCACGATCGGGTGAGACGTCCCTGCTGAACTCTGGCTTGACTAATCCAGACCTTTCATTTTCGGGGGTCAGAGAAACATGTGCATTGGCTGGCCACCGCAGGTCATTGCAAAGGCTACATTGCAGCATTGAAAATGCCACTGTAGTCCTGAATGGAAGTAGGATGCGTGGCGCATCCCGAAGTGATCGATCGCTGCTGAGGGCTCTATTCAGTTGACGGTTCTCATGGTATTATTAGAACTGTTTTTAGATTGCTTATGTATTTACTGGAGCGAGATGCCTTCGAGCGTTCAGCACCTTTGTTCTCTACAACCTAGGACGGTGGAGTTATGCTAGCGCTCTTTACGGATCTTTCGCAATCAGTGAGTTTCTAAGAATGTCTCCTAGGCAGGGCCAAAATGGTTATGAATATCTCTTCCAGGTTTGTTGAGGATTCCTTTCACGCTGATACCCGTGTTCGTTGTTGATCGCTTAGGACGACGGCCGTTGATAATCACATCAACGGCGATCTCATTTCTGTCGTTGTCTCTAATGATAATTGGAATCGATATCGGAGCCAGTTGGAAGGTCCGTAAAATTCGATTGGAATCATAGGGGCATGGTATTGACTGGTTTTTTAGGGAGCTCTTATTTCAAGCAGATGTGATGAATAATTGAACGTCGTTTCAGATCGCCACCCTGCTCGGTTTATCGTCGCTTCTGCTGACGACCGCTTGTGGTATTGGCTCCGTGTCCAGATTCTACGCTGCAGAACTTGTGCCCCGAAATCTGCTGATCTCTTCCGTCTCAATTCTCACGATGTTCGAAGCGCTCACGAAAATCGGTGTTGAGTTCGCCTTCTATCCAATCGCTAATATTGTGAGCATTTCTCTCCTACTTACCTATAATATCCTATTATACAAATGAGCCGGTGTGATGACGTCAGCAGGGCCTCATATTGCACTTGCACAACCTGGATGTGGGATCACTCCCAGACCAATCAGGCATTCTATCCCTCATAATTCCATCAGCTAATACCAGGCTCTATGGCTCAGCTGTTTGTTTACAGTATTGCTGCCGCTACAGTAACTTTGTTTAGATTGGCGCTCAATCGCTCTT